TTGATACTTCCTACATTGTTTAATATTTTCTCCATAGAATCCTTCAATATTGCTACTCAAAGTTTGAATTTTTTCTTCAGTTCTTTCAGCCTGAGAAATGCCAAGCATGTTCTTCCCTCCTGGTTTTCTAATTCCAGGTCTTTGCACATTTCATTATAATATTTTACTTTGTCTTCTCAAGCTGCCCTTTGAAATCTTCTGTTCAGCTCTTTTATCATTTCTTCCTTTTGCTTTAGCTACTCTACATTCAAAGAACTCTAAGATCCATGTATTGTTTGAAAGAATAAATATATTGATTATAGATGTTATTAAGTTAAACAGGCATGTTAAAATTGCTAGAATAACCACCAAAGAATAGAAACAGAATATATAATTTCAAAACAAGAGAGGAAGTTAGAAAACAGAAAAACAATCCCACCGAAGTCTAAGATGCTTTCATCTAACCAACTTTCCTCCCTCCCTCCCTTCATGCCTTCTACCCTCCCTCCCTTTCTTCTCACTCCCTTTCACTCAGGGGCCGACTTGTGTAACAGTGTGATGAGGCTCCCAGCCTCTCCTAGCCTCTTCTTTATACTCTCTCACAGGCATTTCCCTATCACGTTTTTTGCACATTTAATCCCATCTTGGCATCTGCTTTTCAGAGGACCAAGACTAACACAAATCCCCAACTTATTTCATGAAATGAATATATCCATTATTCCAAAAACAAACAGTGCCAACGTAAATAAGGAAAATTACAGGCCAATGTACATGGCAATCTCATTTATGAACATATAAGAAGTTCTAAACAAAAACACAAGCATGCGAAATTCATCAATGAATACACAAGGTAACATTTTATGATCAAGTTAGGTTTATTCCAGAAATGCAAAGTTGATTCAATATGAGAAAATCTATTTAGGTAAGTCACCACATTAGCATATAAAGGAGAAAAACCATGTGATCATTTCAATAGATGCAGAGAGAGCATTTAACAAAATTTAACAACCATCAGAATAAAAAATCTTAGCAAATTAGAAGAAAAATTTTACAGGTATACAACTTATTGACAGCAATTACATTAATCAGCTGTGCAACCCTACCCTTAATCAAAAACGAAACTCAGTACTCCACAAGCAATAAATCCCCATTTTCCGTCTCCCTCCTGCCCCTGGTAACCACTAAGAAGCTTCAGTCTCTATACGTTGGCCTGTTCTTGCCTTCTTATATAAACGAAGTCATACAATATTTATCCTTTTGTGATTGACTTATTTCACTCAGCATGATGTCTTCAAACTCCATCCATATTACAGCATGTATCAAGACTTCATTTCTCTTACTATCTGAGTAGTATTCCATCGTTGTATGTACCACATTTTGTTGATGAGCATTTAGGTTATTTCCACCTTCTGGCTATTGTGAATAGTGCTGCAGTGAACACAGCTGTACAAGTATCTGTTTGCATCTCTGCTTTCAAGTATTTTGGGTATATACCTAGGAGTGGACTTGCTGGGTCATATGATAGTTCTATTTTTAGTTTTTTGAGGAATCACCACACTGTTTTCCACATCAACCGTACCATTTTGTATTCCCACCAGCAGTGGATAGGCATTCCAAGTTCCCCACATCCTTGTCAACATTTGTTATTTTCTTTTTTTTTTTTTAATCTTAGCCATCCTAATAGATGTGAAATGGTGTCTCATGCGGTTTTGACTGGCATCTCAAGAATCTTGTCACCTCAACTTGAGCATTATGCTCTTTTAAGAATTATCTATATGGAATCAAACTGACAACAGCAACTCAAAAGATTAAATAGGAACCATAGGGAGCAGTAAGTTTATGTTAATGTAGGATGAACAACTCCGAAAAGGAGGATGAGACTAGTTGCACAACTCAAAATGCAATCAATGTCACTGAAATGTACATGCAGAAACTTGAATTGGTGTAGGTTTTTGCTGTGTATATTCTCAACAGCAACAACAAACAAGTTAATTTTTTAAAGTTATCATGGTTAAAAAGGAAGAAATAGAACTGTAATTCTTCATAGATGATATGATTTTTCTATGTAGAAAAAAATAAAATGATCTAAAGATAACTTATTAGAATTAGAGAACTTAAGATTGTTTCATGTAAGATCAATATACAAATTTTTAAATACCATTTACAATGGTATAAAAAATAAGATAATAAATCTAATAAAACAATGCAAGATCTTTATGGATAACGTATTAAATTTTCTGTAAGGATATTAAGAAGACTTAAACAGATGTAGGAGGATACTTTGGCTCATGGTTCCCCATGTGTGTCAGTTTGTCACACTGTGGTGGCTTGCATGTTGCTGTGATGCTGGTTAAGAAGACTCAGTATCATAAAGATGTCAATTCTCCCAAACAGACCTATAAATGTAATGCAATCCCAACAAGATTTTTTTTTTTTTTATTGTACTTCAGGTGAAGGCTTACAGAACAAATAGTTTCTCAAGAAACAGTAGTACACATGTTGTTTTATGACATTGGTTA